AAGGGCCATGATACATAAGCCATCACTGAGAGTTATCTCATCACAAAGATTTGGGCCTAAAAGACTCCCTGGGAGGACACTTGGTAGCCCAAATATCTGTTAACTAAGTATATCAGAGTTCCCTAGAGAACAGAACCACTAGGATATACTGCAGGTGTGTGTATAGATCATGTGTACACGGGAGAGTGAGAGCAGCATGGTGAGACGGAAAGAAATGTATTTTAAGGAATTGGCTCACACAATTATGGAGGTTAGCAAGACCAAAATCTGAAAGGTGGGCTCGCAGGCTGGAGACTCAAGAATCAGTGTTGCAGTTGAAGTCCAAAGGCTGTCTGCTGGCAGAATTCCCTCTTACATGGGGGAAGTCAATCTTTCATTCTATTTAGGCCTTCATCTGATTAGATGAGGCCCACCCACATGATGGAGGGCAATCTGTTTTACTCAAAGTCCACCCATTTAATGTTAATCTCATGCTTAAATACCCTCACAGACACACCCAGGTTAAGGTTTGACCAAATATCTGGGCACTACAGTCCAGCTAAATGGACACATAAAATGAACCATCACAGTGCCAAATGGATACCCTAACCAGCCTAGAAGACCATCGCTCCCCAAGCATCAGAGAGTATCAGGTACAAGGAGTCAGCAGCAAGGGTGTCCTTCCCCAGGTTGTAGGTTGGTGGCTAAAAGAACTAGGTATAGATAGACCCCAATCCATTAAAACACCACCTGGCCAGAACGGGAGTCATTCTCTCTGAAAGTCACAGTGTTAGAAACAATGAGAGAGACTAACACTGCCATCTGAATAGAGTCCTTATTTCTAGCACACATTAGCACAGGGTTCTGAATAAGGATGGAGGGATATGTCATGTTCTCAATGAATTGGAGCAAAGCATCATCTCTACTAGGGTGAGGCCAAGAGTGGACTCTCACATACTTCAAACCCCACTCTGCTGGAATATTGCCTTTTTAATACTTTGAGGGCTGTATCCCAGGCTTTTGTTTACCATTTGTTTTCCCAGAAATCAAATTAAAATCTCTCTGGAAAAACTCTTAAAAGTAACATTGTGGATCATGTCCACCTTTATGAGTTTCACAGGACTACGCATGAATAGGAGAGTCTATCCTGTAGAAGATTTTGGTAGAAGAAGATTATTGTGTCTCAATTTGGGGCAGTTAAGGTTACCACTGTCTCTCTACTGAAAAGTGACCCACCCAAAGCCAGTAACAGGCTTCCCAGGTGGTGCCAGTGGTAAGGAATCTGCCTGCCAATGCAGGAGACATAAGAGATGCAATTGAACCCAGGTTCAATCCCTGGGTCAGGAAGATCCCCTTGAGGAGCTAATGGCAACCCATTCCAGTATTCTTGCCTAGAAAATCCCATGGACAGAGGAGCCTGGCAGGCTACAGTCTATGGGGTTTCAAAGAGTCAGACATGACTGAAGCGACTTAGCATGCATGCACAAAGCCAGTAAAACCAACAGGAGAGCAGAGGACCCATTGTCACTGATGCAGACTGAGGGGTCTTGTCATACCCTGCAGATTTGGAAGCTCTGAGTTCCAAGTTTGCTTGCACTGAGTGAACCCAACCAGTGATCTAAAGAACTTACATGATGTGAAGTAAATCAGACCAAGCCTAAGAAAATTGAGTTCAAGGACAATATAACAGATCCCCCATCTGGGCCCCCAGCGTGCTGCAGACCCCTGAGAGCAGGGTCTTGGTTTGGTTCTCTGTGGTGTCCCCAGAATCTGGCACATAACAACCTCCGCTCAGGAAACTTTTGTAGACTGACTGATTGCTAATTAAATCAAGTCCAAAGCAATCTTTCTGTAAGCATGAACATGTATCATCACAGTGGTCAAAAAGGAATGGGACTTTTTCATAGGAAAATTGGAATGATCTCAGAGTGATAAATTTTTGAAATGAATTCATTTATAAAATAGTCACTGTCTCTGCCTGTCTGTAAAATGAGACGGGGGGATGGCATTTTTAGTTAGTACCCATACAACACCTGGGGGCACATGCGATAGTTAAAATTTGGCAGGGGAGTGACACCTAAATTATTCATTCACAGCAACCCTTTTCCTTCCTAGTAGAGAGACAGCATCCTAGAAGATTCTACCAGGCTGTTTAATCTATCTGGATTTTCAACTCCTTGGTAGCAGAGACTGCATCTTATCCCCAAACCTACCCCACTTCTTGACATCTATAGAGTCGATGCTCAGATGATGACCATCAAATGCTTATATAGTCAATGTTTTCTTGCCCAGTAAAGAAACTGGAGCATGGGGGAATTTCAGGAAGCCTGTGATAATAGAAAGTTGGTAAAGTGCACAAAGCTGATTACAAGGGAACATCAGAAAGAATTAAAAGGATTAACAGGATATTGACAAGGATATGCAAGGATGGGAATGATAAAGGACAGAAATGGTAAGGACCTAACAGAAGCAGAAGAGATCAAGAAGAGGCGGCAAGAATACACAGAAGAACTGTACAAAAAAGTTCTTAATGGCCTGGATAACCACAATGGTATGGTCACTCACCTCGAGTCAGACATCCTGGAGTGTGAAGTCAAATGGGCCTTAGGAAGCATTACTACAAACAAAGCTAGTGGAAGTGATGCAATTCCAGCTGAGCTATTTAAAATCCTAAAAGATGCTGCTGTCAAAGTACTGCACTCAATATTTCAGCAAATTTAGAAAACTCGGTAGTGGCCACAGCACTGGAAAGTTCAGTTTTTATTCCAACCCCAAAGAAGTGAAAGTGTTAGCTGCTCAATCATGTCCTACTCTTTGTGACCCTGTGGACTGTAGCCCACCAGGCTCCCCATCCATGGAATTCTCCAGGTAAGAATACTGGAGTGGGTTGCCCTTCCCTCCAGGCTATCTTCCTGACCTAGTGATCGAACCCATGTCTCTTTCATCTCCTGCATTGGCAGGCATATTCTTTACTGCTGTGCTTTGGAAGCCCTGCCCCCAAAGAACGGTGATGCCAAAGAATGTTCAAACTATCATACAACTGTGCTCATTTCACAGGATAGAAGGGCAATGTTCAAAATCCTTCCAGCTAGGCCTCAGCTGTACATGTACCAATAACTTTCAGATGTGCAAGTTGGATTTAGACAGGGCAAAGGAACCAGAGATCAAATTGCCAACATCCATTGGATCACAGAAAAAGCAAGGGAATTCCAAAAAAATCTACTTCTACTTTATGGACTATGCTGAAGCCTTTGACTGTGTGGATCACAAAAACCTGTGGACAATTCTTAAAGAGATGGGAATACCAGGACATTTTACCTGCCTCCTGAGAAATCTGTATGCAGGTCAAGAAGCAACAGTTAGAACAACAGACTGGTTCAAAATTGGGAAAGGAATACGTCAAGGCTGTATATCGTCACCTTACTTAATTTAACTTATATGCAGAATAAAAAGTATTAAAGTCACTCAGTCCTGTTTGACTCTTTGTGACCCCATTGACTAAACAGTCCATTGAATTCTCCAGGCCAGAACACTGGAATGGGTAGCCGGTCCCTTCTCCAGGGGATCTTCCCAACCCAGGGATCAAAACCAGGTCTCTCACATTGCAAGAGGATTGTTTATCAGCTGAGCCACCAGGGAAGCCCTATGTGTAGAGTATGTCATGCAAAATTCTGGGCTTGATGAAACACAAGCTGGAATCAAAACTGCCAGGAGAAATATCAGCAACCTCAGCTATGCGGATGATATCACTCCAATGGCAGAAGGCAAAAAGGAACTTAAAGAGCCTCTTGATGAAGGTGAAAGAGGAAAGTGAAAAAGCTGGCTTGAAGCTCAATATTCAAAAAACAAAGACCATGGCATCCAGTTCCATCACTTCATGGCAAACAGATGGGGGAAAAATGGAAACAGTGACAGACTTTATTTTTTGGGCTCCAAAATCACTGTGGATGGTGACTGAAAACTTGTAATTAAAAGATGCTAAAAAAATAATAAAATAAAAGATGCTTGCTCCTTGGAAGAAAAGCTATGACAAAACTAGACAGTGTTCTAAAAGAGCTGAGACATCACTTTGCCAACAAAGGTCTGTATAGTCAAAGCTTTGGTTTTTCCAAGTAGTCATGTATGGATATGAGAGTTGGACTATAAAGAAAACTGAGCACCTAAGAATTGATGCTTTCAAATTGTGCTGTTGGAGAAGACTCTTGAGATTCCCTTGGACTGGAAGGAGATCAAACCAGTCAATCCTATAGGAAATCAACCCTGAATAATCATTGGAAGGACTGATGCTGAAATTGAAGCTCCAATACTTTGGTCACTTGAGGCAAAGAGCAGACTCATTGGAAAAGACCGTGATGCTGGGAAAGATTAAAGGCAAAAGGGGAAGGGGGCAGAAGAGGATGAAATGGTTGGATAGCATCACCAACACAATGGACATGAGTTTGCACAAACTCCAGGATTTAGGGAAGAACAGGGAAGCCTGGCATGCTGCAGTCCATGGGGTCACACAGAGTTGGTCACACAACTTAGCGACCAAACAACAACAGGATATTGACAAAGAGAGCAACACCCAAGGAGAATAACTAGAACATTAAGTAGGTACTGCTGGTTCCCTGGCAGTCCAGTGGTTAGGAATTTGAATTTTCATTGCTGAAGGCCCAGGTTTGATCTCTAGTTGGCAAACAAAGATGCCACAACCCACATGGCAAAATAAATAAGCTAATGCATCCCACAACTCAAACAATTCCACAAGGACTTTGTCTTGAGGCAATTCTCATAGTTTGGGATGTGAAAAAGTACTTTATGTATACTTCTCATTAAAAAAAAAACATGTAAAGAAACGTAACCAGGCCTTGAGTAAGCACTTATACTATCAAGATGTTGAATAGATTCTGATTTATATGAAAGGATATAGAGTAAGAGGTTAGGTCTTACAGGACTTCAAAGAACACAGAAGGTAGAGCTCCCAGTTTTAAAAAGCTTACACATTATACTTTTTTTTTTTTTTTGGCGTGTTGAGGTACTTTATTTGCACAGATGTTTTACATCCTTAGCGAAAGAATCACAGGATTTTCCCTCCTGTGTGTTTTTGTCTTGCTTCTTCATGGTCCATGATGCAAGTCGAGGCTGTCAGTACAATGAAACCAAACTGATACGACAGGAGCAGGTCATTCTGCCCTTTTTCTAGATCTCTGAGATGCACATCAAATCTGGGGCTGATCACTCCACATTTGCTTCGCCTGCCTGTAAGATTCCCAACAATTTTCCCAACTCTGTGATCATCAGTGATTTCAAACTCGGCAATACAACCATGCTTCACCATCATAATTAGAAACCAGATGATGACTTTGGAGGACAGACTAATAAGAACCTGGGGTTTGCCTCTCTTGTTGGCATTGTTGGTACCCTTGAGAGCATCAGCCAGACCTTCCTCCGTACCATGATGGCAATATGGAAAGATGGCAGAAAGCTACGCTTTTTCCTTAACAATAACCTGGACCAAGTGTTATAGCAAGAAATAATAATAATCAGGGATTATTATCTGCTCAGATAACTGATATGTATAATTATATATATAATCTTTAAATATCTAAAATATCATGTTATATACAAATATATATTACAAACATTATTTCTCTTTCATAAACCAAGTCACAGATTAAAACTCCACAGGTAAACAACAAGGTCCTACAATATAGCACAGGGAACTATACTCAATATCCTGTGATAAACCATATGGAAAAGAATATGAAAAAGAATGTGTATATATATATATATCTATATATATCTCACTGAATCCCTCTGCTGTGCAGCAGAAATGAACACAACACTGTAAATCCATACTTGAATAAAATAAATTTTTAAAATAAACATTCAAACAAAGGAAATCAACCTTGAATATTTACTGGAAGGGCTGAAGCTGAAGCTCCAATACTTTGGCCACCTGAGGCAAAGAGCTGACTCATTTGAAAAGACCCTGATGCTGGGAAAGATTGAAGGCAGAAGGAGAAGGGGACAACAGAGGACGATATGGTTGGATGGCATCACTGACTCAACGGACATGAGTTTGAGCAAGCTCTGGGAAATGGTGAAGGACAGGGAAGCCTGGCATTCTGCAGTCCATGGGGTTGCAAAGAGCTGGACATGACTGAGCGACTGGACAATGACAAAAACCCACAAATATATTGTCATCTTATAATAGGAATGGAGGGATTTACTACTTTCAAATGAGTAAGGCTTAAAGTCATCATACTGAATGCTGCCAAAAAATCTCCAGCTACTCTCAGAACCCACTCATCCCATTATAACTACAAAGTGGACCCATTATTAATGACTGTATTTTCATTCTTGTAGGGCAATGAATCTCACCTGTTGAGGTGCATGAATGCTTCAAGGAGCTCATGAAAGGTGTGGACCTTTCTCCCAAGAAAAATGCTTATATATTTTACTTCATTGTAGATGAATTTTGTTTGCAAAGATCCACTACTTCAAAGATGTATAGCTGTGTTTTTCATGCAAAAATTAATGCATACTTCCTGAAATAAAAACTGAACTAAACTAAAATTCACAAACAAAAGAAAATCTTACCTCTGCTCACATTTCAGCAAGCAGCTGAATTTTGTTTGGCCTTGAATAAGAAGATGAAATTATAATGAGGTCCTGGTTACAGTGATGTTCATGTCGAGGTAATGTTTGACGTCTATTCAATTTTGGCCTTTCTTTTTGATGGCCGTAATGACTGAAAATCCCAATACACAAAAATCTGATGAGGTGTTCAAAGTCAAAGTTCCACAGTTCATTTTGAAAAAGGCCTGGGACCTGGGATCCTTTACTGCTTTGCTGCAATGCTTGTACCTGGACAAACATCTCCTCAAGCAACAAAATGCTAAGAAATCATAAGAGACTAAAAATAATTATGTGTATGCACAGTTGGGGCAAGTTCTGGACAAAAGATACACAGAGACCAAAAAAAAAAAACAAAACACAACTGCCAGACTGCACATGACCCCTGCACACAATGGCACCAAAGGAGCAGGCAAATCACCTAAATCACCCCTCCAGCCCGACCTCTGGACACATTCCCACCCTCACCCCATGTAAGGAATCAGCTCACCTCTCCTTGGGGAGTGAGCAAAGAAACTTGTTTTTTGTTCTTCTTCCCCCACTGCTGCAGCAGGGACCCCAATAAAGCCTTGCCTGAACTTTTTGTCTGGTCTTTGATCAATTTCTATTGATCAAGGAGGCCAAGAATCCTGGTCAGTAACAACTGTGTCAGAAGAGCCCAGGCTTACATCAATTCCTAAGATTCCAGGAAACCCCAATTCTCTGAATTGAATTAATGCCACATCATCTCCTTTGTCTGTGAGGTAACTTTAGGAAACTCTGCATCCTTGTTATTATCCTCAATAATTTTTTTTTAAAAGGAGACAAATCATAAGCAGAGACCTTAGGGCTTAGGAGCATCTGGATTTCTCATCCCCTGGTTCTTTACTCCCCTCGTTCACAGTCCCTGAATCCTGCTGGCTTCCATACTTGAAAGTGAAAAACAGTGACAGTCAGTCATGTCTGATTCTTTGCAGCCCCATGGACTGTAGTCCACCAGGCTCCTCTGTCCGTGGGATTTCCCAGGCAAGAGTACTGGAATGGGTAGCCATTTCATTCTCCCAGGGGATCTTCCCGACCCAGAGATCAAACCCCGCAATGGCAGGCGGATTCTTTACCACTGAGCCACCAGTGAGCCCTTGTCTATTCCCACCCATCAACAACCTTCTCCACACAACGGTGTTTCTAAGCAACAGCCAAAGAGGATCCCAAATCTACCGCAGCCAAACAGAAGGACAACAACCCGAGTGTGGTCTGCACCATTTCCCCCGGAAGCTCCGTTAACAGTGTGGTTGGGTTTTGTAATAAATGGCTCCCTTATGAGGCCATTATGAGCACACCAGGTGGGCTGGCCTTTCGCTAATCCCGTTTGTTCCTATGAAAGAACACGTTCCAAGTTCCACACAACCCATAAACACTGGCTTTGGTAGCACCATGTGTTCAGAGCTCAGGCACTGCTTGCAGAGGAAGCCACACTTGAACCTGACATGAGTTTCACCCTCTTAAGTTTTAATAGAACAGGGCAGAGATCCAAGTATATTTTATTCCTATGGGAATAAATACATGATTTACGCCTATTCACAGCCCAATCGTCAGACACAGACGTTAACATATTTTAAAGTTTAAAATTAAAAATGGAAGGTAAGAGGAATTCACACTCTGGAAGTGCACTTAAGCCCTTCAAATATTTTATCAAAATCTTTACAAGAAATTTGACTGATCACAAAGAAATCTTAGCAGTAAGTTTTCATTTCATTTCATACTCTATTCAATACTCTGTAATGACCTATATGGGAATAGAAGCTAAAAAACAGTGGCTATGTGTATACGTACAGCTGATTCTCTTGGCCATACAGCAGAAACGAATGCAACATCGTAAATCAACTAGCGCTCAGTCACATCTGACTCTTTGGGACCCCATGGACTGTAGTCCACCAGGCTCCTCTGTCTTAGGATTATCCCCATGAGAGTAATGGAGTGGGTTGCCATTTCCTCCTCCAGGGGATTTTCCCGACCCAGGGACTGAACCTGTGTCTTCGGCATCTCCTGGATTGCAGGTGGATTCTCTACCACTGAACCACCAAGGGAGCCTGTAAAATCAACTATACTCCAATAAAAATTAAAGAAGGAAGATAAGGGCTTCCCTGGTGACTCACTGGTGAAGAATTCACCTGTCAATGCAGGGACACAGGTTCAATCCCTGGTGCCGGGAAGATCCCACATTCCGTGGAGCAACTAAGCCTGTGTGCTACAAATATTAAGCCTGTGGTCCAGAGTCTGGGAACTGCATCTACTGAAGCCTGAGTTGCCTGAGAGCCCATGGTCCACAACAAAGAGAAGCCACCACAATGAAAAGCCAGTGCACCACAACTGGAGAGTAATCCCCGCTTGCCACAACTAGATAAAAGCCCACACAGCAATGAAGAGTCAGCACAGCCAAAAATTAATTAATAAGTAAATAAGGAAGGCAAAGGCTTCTAACCATCTGTTTTTTCACTGCTAGCCAGACCTCTATTTTCTCAACATTTTGTTTTAAGAGCAGACTGGAGAGCTGCCATATTCACTGTGTTATCCTACAGGGCCCTCCTGGGCCAACCAAGCTAACAGGGAAGCTGAAAACATCGTGATTTGTCTCAGATTAGAGACAACTGCCATCTCTCCAGACTGCCATCTCCCCAATGTGGTCAAAGTTGAGCCTTGCTATGCAACAACTGATTCCTGATTAGCTTTGGCCTTGTGTCCTCAGAGGCTAAAACCTCGGTGGAACATTAGGTTGGACACAGAGAGAATGTCCTTGGAAGGGTGGGTGCACAGTCAGCCAGAATGCAACTTCCTGTGTGCTTTCAGGTCCTAATGCACAGCTAGTATCCCCACTCTTAGCAGTTGATGAGAACGAAGCCGCTGTGTCAAAACTGTCTAATGTGTGATTAATTGAAGACACACAGGCTGACGTGTTGCCTCTCGCATTATTACAATATAGTGGTGTTTTCTGGTCTCACCAGTGGCACAAATCTTCATCACAGCAAGATCTCTGTGTTTGGGGTGGCAAATCTCCAGAACAGTGTTGTTTGGCAAAAACAGGCGTGTTTTTAGCAACAAAATCCAAGACAATTGTGTACTACAACATGAACCCAGCTGAGTGAGGGCCAATTAACTGAGCATCTGGTACATCTGGGCCCAAGTTATTAACCAGTCTTGATTGCCTTCACGTGTAAAACAAATGAATCTACCACGGTCTAGGTGTATTTTACTTTATTTTTTCCCACATAAGTCAGAGATTCAAATTCGTCTGCAAATGTTCTCTGGGCATTCAAAGTCCTCTGGATAATTCAGTGGGGGAGTTGTTTGTTTCTTTTTTTTTTTTTAATCTTCGTAAATATTTAGGTTTATATGCCTAATATAAGCAATTATTTGTGTCGGATAGCATGTTTTTGAATGAAACAGAAAGAACCTACAAGTCAAAGTGACTTCAACATTAAAGAGTATTTAGGGCTCACTCACCTGAAATGTCAATGAGTGAGGATGACGTCAGACATGGTGCAGTCAGAACTTGAGCTCCATGAATCCAAGCTTTCAGTTCCTCCTCCAGAATGGGGGCCAACAGAGACTGGAGTTAGGTACCACCTCCTCCTACCCTGGAGGAGAAAGCAAGTGTCTCACCTCGCGTCTATAGTTCTATAAACCAATCACGTCAGCTATTAGAATGATAGGCACTGATTGGCTTATGCCCGAGGTATGAGCTCCTTCCCAACCTATCATGTGGCCAGAAAGATACAAGGGGGCTGTTAAATTATGCCAATCTATCCGAGGAATTCCTGCTGGGTTCATCCCACCTGAAACACCTGAATACTCTGCAGAGGGGTGGGGAGGTTCACGGTTCACTATAGAAATAGGAAAGAGAGGTAGTGCATGCTACAAAAGCAAATATTGAGTGTGAATTGCACCATTTTCTTTAAAGAAAAGAGCCGCTTTTTCTTTTTATAATTGTCATTAGACATTACAGATATTTTTTAGAAGCAGCATATTTTTTAAGAGTAGAAAGAGCAAGATAGAAATCAGACAGTATTTACGCAAAAGAACAATTTTATCAATATTATCATGGTTAGGAATCCAAGTGTTCTGGAATCTGAGAATCTCCAGGGACTACCCTGGTGGCTTAGCGGTGGAGAGTCTGCCTGCCAAAGCAGGAGACACGGATTCGATCCTTGGTCCTGGAGGATCTTACATGCCCAAGGGCAACTGAGCCTGTGCGCTTGAGCCCAGGAGCCACAACTTCTGAAGCCTGCGCACCCTAGAGCCCATGCTCCACAGCAAGAGAAGCCACTGCAATGAGAAGCCCACAGCACAGCAACTAGAGAGTGGCCCCCCACTCACCGCACCTAGAGAAAACCTTGTGCAGCAGCAAAGACCCAGCACAGCCAAAAAAAAACCATAAACAAATAAAATCACTCAAAGAAAATAATTGTATCTCCATCACTAACTAGCTGTCTGATGTTGGGTAAGTCATTTGGCATCTATGTCTCATAAGTGAGAATAACAATTAGCATCTCCATCATCAGGACTAATGAAAACATTCATTCAAGTAACTCTCCTAGCAGTAATAAGTGCGCCATGAAGCTATCCATCCTTCAGAACGTGGCTTCTATGGGCAGGGACCTCACTTGCCTTATTTACTGCTCTAAGCTCAGTGACTGGTGCTCAATAAACACTTGCAAATGAATCTCCTTTGCTCTAACTCTCAACACCAGAATAAAGGGGAGGAAAGAGTTAAAGAAGTTAGGGGCCAGTACAGCTGGAGCCAGGTCTTGGTTGGCGGCCAGCACGAAAATCCAGGAGGAATGGGGTTTGGAGTTGTAGATCCACTTTGACTGCTGTTGGAACACTGCAGCTGACAGGGTCTGGAAGAGAAGAGAGTGAAGTGTTTGCTAAATCCCACAGCACAGGCTTTTTTTTTTTTTTTTTTTCCTTTCTTTTTGAGCCTGAGAAGCAAAAAGCGAAACTGGATCATCTGGTTTAGTAACATAATCGTAAAATAAAATGAAAAATCTGGGAGTTTCTCTGTGGGAAAAAAAGAACAAGAGGATTCAAAGGAAAAAAAAGACAATAGAGGATTCAACCCCAATCATCTAAAAGCAAATATTGTTTTCTGGGATGTTCAGAGGTCGTCTACAGAAAGAGAAAAAAATTACAAGAGGAGGAATAAAACTGTGAAGATGTTTCAAATATGGGGACTCACATGGATCTTTAAAATATACCTACAGGAATTCCTTACTCATACAGATAAACATGCTCAATCTATGCTGGTCCTCCCCTGCCTCATCTGCTGGCTTCCTGCCAAGATGTGGCAGAATACTGACTGCAAAAAGGGGTCCCGTTTTGTGAGAAGAAACAAAACTAAGCTAAGCTCTGTTCCCAAGATAAGTGAATACTCACTTTGGAATATTCAGAGAAACAATATAAGACAGAAGTCATATGGAAGATATAACAAAAACACCGTTTTGCATATTTGTTTAAAATAGACCTTTAAAAATATTTATTTGGCTATGCCAAGTCTTAGTTGTGGCATGTGGGATCTAGTTGCCTGACCAGGGATCAAACCTGGACCCCCTGCTTTGGGAGCACAGAGTCTTAGCCACTGGACCACCAGGGAATTCCTTTAAATAGACTTTTCATTTAGGATAGTTTTATATTTACAGAAAACTTACCAAATACATAAATATCTAGGCAGTTTCCATATATATCCTGTACCTAGTATCCCCTGCTACTGATCAAGCATGAGTTTGATACATTTGTCAGGACCAATGAACCAATATTGACACATGGTTATTAACTGAAGCTCATACCTTATTCAGATGTCTTCAGTTTTTACCTAGCCCTTTGTCTGCTACAAGATTCCATCCAGAGTGCCACATCACATTTAGTCATCAAGTCTGCTTAGGATCCATTAAACTGTGACAGTTTTAGACTTTGCTTCATTTGGGTGACCTTGACACTTTGGAGAAATCTGGTCAGGTGTTTTGTAAACTGTCCCTCAATTTGAGTTTTTCTGATGTTTTTCTTTTGATATGACAGGAATTTTAGTTTGGAGGAGGAAGACAAGTGCTGTTCTTACCAGGTCATATTGAGGATATGTTATTAGCTTGACTTACCACTGATGATGTCAATCTTCTGTACCATTACACCATTTCCATGTTATGTCTTTGGAAGAAAGTCATCAAACCCTGTGTAGGGAGCTATGTTCTACCTCCTCAAGGGGACAGTGTCCATATAAATTTTTTTTTTAAAGTTTCTAATGTATAGGTGTTTGTCTCTTCTTTCCACTTATTTGTTTGCT